AAAATGTGCCAAACTACACCTGCAGCAAACCCAAGCTGCCTGCCTTGCTGGAAGAGAAGGTGCAGCTTCCAGAAACTGGAGGCCTGTCAATCCACACTTTGACCTCCTGGGTTAGATGAGGAATTTCTCAATAGAGCAGAGAGGGCTGTCCTGGAACAGCAGTGCAGGAGGGGGTGCCGCTAGGGAGAAGGAAGATTGCGCAGTGCAGGAGATGAACCCCTGGAGGAACGTGGCGCACAGAAGCAGGACTGCCAGGAGCCATGCTGTGTCACTGGAGCTCACCTCAGACACCGCTTCTGGGCCAGATGAGCAAGGGCAGTGGTTGCAGACCTCAGAACACACTGGTGTACACTTGCGAATACTTCTATGACCTGGAGCATGGAAGGCAGACTGAGAGTATATGGGTAAAAATTGTAGGAGAGGAACAACGCTGACCTTACTGTGGGTGTCTGCTATAGACCTCCAAGACTGCATTGATGCCTGGATGATGCCTTCCCACAGCAAACATTCATAGAATCATAGAGTTGGAAGGGACCCAAGCGTCATCTAGTCCAACCCCCTGCAGGGCAGGAATCTCAGCTGAAGCATCCGTGACACAGGGCCATCCAACCTCTGCTTAAAGACCTTCAAGGCAGGAGAGGCCACCACCTCCCATGGGAGTCTGCTCCACTGCCAAACAGCTCTTATTGTCAGAAAGTTTTTCTGAATGTTTAGTTGGAATCTCCTTTCTTGTAATTTGAAGCCATTGGTTTGAGTCCTATCCTCCAGAGCAGGAGAAAACATGCTTGCGCCATCCTGCATGTGACTGCCCTTAAGATACTTGAAGATAGCCATCATATCTCCTCTCTGTTTCCTCTTCTCCTGGCTAAATATCCCCAGCTCCTTCAACCGTTCCTCATAAGGCTTGGTTTCCAGAGCCTTAATCATCTTGGTCTCCCTCTTCTGCACACGTTTCAGTTTGTCAACATCCTTCTTAAATTGTGGCACCCAGAATGGGACACAGTACTCCAGGTGTGGTCCGACCAAGGCAGAAAAGAGTGAGACTATGACTTCCCTTGATCTGGACTCTACACTTCTGTTCTCGAGATTCCTTACAGAAGCAGGATGCTGGATAGCATCCAAGACTCCTGGCATGCAAGATGACTTTGCCACTTGAGATTCCACTGTTGGATAACAGTTATAGCTGGCCCACCCCCATCCCATCCAGGATTCAACAGAGTCCCTCTCCCCTTCCCAAATCTGCCCCACTTGTGCTTACCTAAATGTCAGGAGGCTGGACCCACACACCAAACAGAGATGTCTCAAGGAGCTCCACAGAGGGGTTTCCTTGCCTCAGTTTCCCTGCAGCCAAAATCTCATTCCCAAGTGCCACACAGGACCACCAAAGCCGGCTTCTTGCTAGTTGCTCTGCTGTTGCTGAATAAATGTGACTCCTGCAAGCGTCATTCCAAGGAACCAGGAATGCGTCCAAAGTGGGGAGTGGATGGCGGGGGGGGGGGGAGAGAAGATTTGCCAAAGTCTCTCAGAGGAGATCAGCATTCAGCTCCAGTCCTAAGGAATGCTGACTCCACCTGCAAATGGAATCATCTGTGGCAACTCAGAGAACTCTAGACCACTCCTTGCTTCTGTGGGGGCAGGTAGGAACACACCGAGGGCGGCACCACCCACTTCCTGGTATGTCCCCACAGGAAAGGAGCTGCTTTCCCCACAAAGCCTACCCTGTAGCAGAAGCCCCACACCTGACCCTGACTCCTGCCGGCTCCCCCAGCAAGCCTCACTTCCTTCATACTGCCTGAACTGAAATGAAACAACCACATGGAGCACATAGGACCAAGAGACAAGGACGGCGAGGAAACAACCACAGCGATCGCCCGTGCCGTTTCTCTTCCTGCCGGAGAATGTGCCAAACTACACCTGCAGCAAACCCAAGCTGCCTGCCTTGCTGGAAGAGAAGGTGCAGCTTCCAGAAACTGGAGGCCTGTCTATCCACACTTTGACCTACTGGCTTAGATGAGGAATTTCTCAATGGAGCAGAGAGAGCAGAGATTACCAAACATTCATAGAATCATAGAGTTGGAAGGGACCCAAGTGTCATCTAGTCCAGCCCCCTGCAATGCAGGAATCTCAGCTAAAGCATCCGTGACAGAGGGCCATCCAACCTCTGCTTAAAAACCGCCAAGGAAGGAGAGGCCACAACCTCTCGTGGGAGTCTGTTCCACTGCCGAACAGCTCTTACTGCTCAAACACAGCCGCAACACATGGCTAATAAGTATGGTAAATGTATTATTAGTAGAAGTTAGAATATAATCCAAAATTTACAAATCATAAACATCATTATATAATGTATGTATAAATCCAGAAACAAGAAATAATCAACGTAATGAATTGCTGTCAGGGAACACCACAACGCAGGCAGAATGCCTTTCAAGAGATAATAATGGATAATAGAACAGCTCTTACTATCAGAAAGTTTTTCTGAATGTTTAGTCGGAATCTCCTTAAGATATTTGAAGACAGCTATCATGCCTCCTCTCAGCCTCCTCTTTCGCAGGCTAAACAAACCCACCTCCTTCAACCATTCCTCATAAGCCTTGGTTTCTAGAGTAGCGTTAGCTTTTTCCCAAAAAGGAGTGATGTAGTAAGCATGGGAGACTTGCAACTATCCCGATATCTGTTGGAACACATACTCTGCCAAGATTCCAACAAATTCCTCCATTGCCTCACTGACAATTTCATTTCCCAGAAGGTCGAAGAAGCAACAAGGGGATCATCTATCTTGGACCTGGTCCTCACCAACAAGGAGGGACTGATGGATGAAGTGGAAGTACTCAGAAACTTGAGAGGAAGTGACCATGTCCTCTTGGGTTTCATTATAAACTGGCATAGAATGGACTCCCTCCTTCCTGGGAGGTTTTTAAGCAGAGGTTGGGTGGCCATCTGTCACGGATGCTTTAGTAGATATTTCTGCATTGCAGGGGGCTGAACTAAATGACCCTCAGGGTACCTTCCAACTCCACAAATCTATAATTCTATATTTCATGGCAAAAATAAAAATTGGAGAAAACCCCCCACATATTCTGAAATAATTTTTTATGATTTTAACAGAAAGCAAAACTGAAATATCAAAGCTTTTGGATCAAAAGCACACAGGATTGTTGTTGTTTTAAAATATATGTTTTTTAAAAAAAAAATACAGAAAAAACACCACCACAATACTATGCAAACTTATTTGGAAGTAAATTCCCATTTGAGTTTATTCCTGAACGAACATGAATAAGGGAGGTCTGTGGCTCAGTGGCAGAACATCTGCTTTGTGTGCAGAAGGTCTCAGGTTCCTGCCTGAAACCCTGGACAGCCACTGCCACTCAGTGTAGACAGGGCTGAATAAGAGAGGCGAATATTGCAAGGTAGGTGTGAAATGTCACAGGAGCCGTCTGCCCTCCTGTGCTTGCCAGCAACTGGGATTCAGAAGCATGGCTGCCTCCAGCTGCGGAGGCGGAGCAGAGCCATCCTGGCCACTAGGAGCCACCGGCACCGTCTCCTCCTCCATGAATTTGTCTGAGCCTCTTTTAAAGCCCTCCGAGTTGGTGGCCGTCACTGCCTCCTGTGGGAGGGAGTTCCGTAGTTCCACTATGCACTGCATGAAGAAGTAAAGCCATGCTTGGCTTGCAAAGGCTTCATCCCCTCTCAGGCACATGTGTGGCCCGGGGGGGGGGATCCTTAAAAGACAGAGGCACAATCTGGACACCCAGATACCAGGCACCATTTCTCTACACAAACCACCCGCTAGTCTTCCATAGCTGTGTACTGTGTCAATTAGAGGGATGGACCTGGGAGAGACCCGGATTCAAATCCTCACTCAACCCTGAAGCCCCCTGAGTGACCCTGGCCTACCTGGCAGGGTTGTGGTGTGGCTTAAATGAGCCATCAGGGTTAGCTTGGTCAGAAGAGCAGCACGTGTGAACAGGAAGACTCTAAGAAGAGCAGGGGTGGGGCCTGGATCAGAGCAGGGGTCCGGGGCTCCATGGATCGGCTCTCCTCCCCTTTCAAGAGCGGGTAGAGGGCTTCCCTTGGAGACGCTGCCTCTGAGCGCGTGCAGAGGGCACTTGGCTCGCCATCAGCTCAGGTCCCCAGGCTGGCACGTGGCCAAGGCTCGAACGTAAAGTTTTGCGTCCGGGGATCGGGCCCTGTCTCCTCCTCCAGGGCTCCCATGCACGCGCCTTCAAGGCTTGGAGAGGGTCGGGGGCGCCCAGCCCGGGAATGCGCGGTGGGGGAGGGGCAGGGGCTTGACCCACCCCCCACCCCGCCTTGGCCAAAGCAAGAGGGACCAGCCCCCCACCCCCCGGGGGAAGGGCGGGGGCCCCGATCCCTACCTGGAGCCGCGCCGGAGGAGCCGTCGCCAGGTCTGCCCACCGCGCAGGCAGCCGGCCGGCCTGGCTGACCTTCCGCCCCCCGGACGGGCGGGCCATCCTCCTCCGGGCAGCGCCTCCTCCTCTCTGCGTCCCACGTGAGCCGGGCGCGCAGGGGGGCGCCGGACGCCTGGGTCCCGTCCTCCGCCGTCGGAGCGTTTGCTCGGAAGGACGGAAGCTCCGAGGACGCGAGGCGGCGGCGCTGGGGACTTTGCAGTTTAGGAAAGGCGAGAGGGAGGCGGCACGAGAGAAGTCTCTAAAATTCTGCCTGGCGTGGAGAACAGGAAAGTTCTCCTCCCTCTCGCAGAACTCGAACTCGCGGACAACCAGTGGAATTGGAAGCTGGACCATTCAGGGCGACAGATAAGATCAAGTACTAGCTAATCTGTGGAACTCGCTCCCGCGGGAGGCAGCGATCGATGGGCTGAGCAGAGGACTCGACACCTTCCTGGAGGAGGAGCGGACCTCGAGGGCTCTCCTCTGGCTCGCGGCTGGGATCCCACTTGCCAGAAGCTGCCGGAGGGCAGAGGGGGCTCGGGCTCAGGGCCCAGTTCTCCGCGCCTGGCCGGCCACTGAAGGCTGAATCCGCAGGGCCGTTGGCTTGATCCAGCCGGGCGCCTCTTCTCTTCCTACGCTGGGAGTGCCAGCCCAGTTCTCCGCACTTCTTCCCTGGAAGTAAGACCCACTCAGTTCTGGCAGCTTACTCTCAGGTAAGCCTGTGTGGGATCACAGCCTCACCCACAGCACTTTATTGCCTCTTGCCAATGTTAAAAATGGGACCTGGCCTCCATTTTTGTTGTTTTAAAAGAGGCTTGATTCTGCTTGAATTTGCAAGCTTGTCAGTTTCATAGGATTCTTTGTCAGGAGGAGTGGAAAAGAAACATAGGAAGCTGCCTTAGTGGTCCATCTGGCTCAGAGTTGTGGACACTGGCCAGAGGCTTTCGGGGTTTTAGGCATGGAGTCTTTTCCAACCCCTAACCGGAGACAGATCCTGAGCTCTTCTGCGGCCCCAGCAGCTGCTCTGCCCCTAGGCTCAGGAACATGTGAAGCCACCTTATGCCCAGTCAGACCTCTGCTCCACCTGCACAGACCGGCAGCAGCTCTCTAGGGCTTCAGGCACGAGTCTTTCCCAGCCCTGTTGGGGACTGAACACGGGGACTTCTGCAGCCCAGGCTGCTCTGCCACTGAGCTGTGGGACGGTGGGTGAATCAGGGCACCTTAAGTGGACAGCAACTGCGGTTCTGCTTCCAGCTCCCCCTGCCCCCTTTGCACTCTTCTGGGTGATGGCAGGTGCTGGGAAGCTCAGCCCTGCCTTGCCCAGTCCTATCCTATCAGCTAGTCTGATTAAAGTTATGCTTCTCCTTCTGTGGTCAGTGTGGCTTAGAGTGTCGGACCGGGACCTGGGAGAGACCAGGGCGCAAATCCGCACTCAGTCATGAGGCTCACAGGGTGACCTTGGGCCAGTCACTACCTCTCAGCCTCCCCTACCTCACAGGGTTGTTGTGGGGATTAAATGAGCAGTTGGAGACAACCATGTACACCACCTGGAGTTCCTTGGAGGAGAGTGGAGACATGAATTAAACAAACAAACAAAATGGCCTTTGCTCAGGATGCGGGCCTGGGTGTCCCCAGTGGCGGAGCAAGCCGATTGGGCGCCTGGGGTAGTGCAAGTGCCCTGCACCCAGGGGTGGGGGCAGGGGCAAGCCGGGGCAGGATGCTCCGTGGGGCCTCCAAGGAGTCTACCTGCTTCCTCCCACTCAGTCGCCCTACAGCTGAGGGGGAGGCAGTGGGCGGACCATTTGGGCAGCGCGGAGCCTGCGGGCGCCCAAACCACCGCGTCACTCCCCACAGGCCCCACGGTGAGTGCCACCCAGCATTTTGTCACCTCCCCTCAGTGGTGACACCTGGGGCAGCCCGCCCCCCCCCGCCCCCCTTCCTCCACCCCTGGGTGTCCCCCAGCTCTAGTTGGGGTCCGATCCCCATCCTGTCCATTGCCCAGCATGGCCAGTGGTCAGGGGGGAGCAGAGCTCTACTCCAGCCATGTTTGGGGTGGAGTCACCACAGGCTCCTCCTTCCAGGCCTATGTCTTGGGCAAGCAACCCGCCATCAGCTGGAGTAATAGGAAGTGAGGGGAGTGTCTCTGAGGACATGCAGAGTGTGTTTTCCCCCACCTCTCAGTAACCAGCACAACTGGTAGCTGCATAACTGGCCTTATTAGGTCGCTCTGGGCCTGAGACCCTGGACAGCTGCTGCCAGTCAGTGCTGGCACTGCTGAGCTGTCAGTGGACCCAGGGCGTGCGTTGCTTGGCAGAAGGCACCTGCCTGGGCTTTCCATCTCTGGCTCCTTCAGTCCACCAGGCTGCTCCCAAAGTCCCCTCTGCGGCCACCCCAGCCCTGTTTCCAGAGAGCAAAAGGCAGGGAGTTAATCCCCACCGGAATGCAGCAGCCAGAGCACAAGGATTAGGGCAGACAGGCTGGGAGCCTTGGCAGGAGAGAGGCACCAGAGCCTGCTGCCCCCCTGGCTGAGTCTGCCCTCCCCCATCCGTCCTTGAGCTTCTTTCCAACCCTGCAGCTGGAGAGAAGGATCCAAACCCCTTTGGAAGGGCGACACCTGGTCCGCTTGCTGGAGGGGGCTGCTGGCTTCTCTCCCTGAAGTCAGTGCCCTGAAGGCTGCGGGGGAGACAAGAGGAGACTGGAGAGGAGCAGTCGGTGGGTGAAAGCGAGGGAGGCAGCACCCTCTTCAGGCCCCCAACCTGCTGCCCCTCCCAGCTGCCCAGAGATCTTAGGGTTGTGGGAGATACCTTAGTGAAAACATGGACTGAGGTAGCATTGTAAAAGGCAGATTTAATGGTCAATATTATTTGGAAAGAGATTGGAAATAAGGCAGCCACTATTGTAATATATTTATGTGCATCGGTGGTCAGTGTTTGAAATTCCCCGCATTTTGCTATTGTCACGGGTCCAACTGCAACTACGTACGTGGAGATTTCTGGGCACCCGGTTGGCAACCGACATCTCCATCGAGCCAGGGAAAGGCTTGGCTCCAATGAAATGCTCTTGTGGGCACACAGGCAGAGTATCCCTTGATGGTACTTTCTGAGCCAGGATGGGGTTGGGGACAGCCCTGCACTTAGCATGCAATGGGCTAGAACTCTCAAGGGAAGGATTTCTTAGTCAGCCCATGGAAGACATTGGTGATGCCGCCCACTGAAGTAGGACAAAGCTACATAGATGATGCGATTAAGCTGGCTCACAGGCCCATTACATTAGTTTCTAATCTCTGGCAAAGAATGCAAAACGAAATGATGCGGTGTTTAAAAATAAACACAGCTTGAAAAGGTACCTGAGCAATGGAGAAGTGGCACCTGCAACAAAATTTTGCAGCGCAGTGGGCTGCTCCAGTTCAGGATTCCAGGGAGGGAGGGATCTTTCTAGGTTACTCAATTCCATTTCCTCCTCCAGATTTCCTCTCCACTCCCACAGCCATCCAGCATTCTGAGCAGGCTCACTGGGTTGTTCCCTCCCCCAAGTGTTAGGGAGTGTGGCATTCCTGCCCCCCTTACTTCTGCAGACCTGGGGTTCCCCCAAGCTCACTAGCAGGTAGCTACCCAAAGGGGCAGCTTCACAGTCTGGGTTGCTTCTGGATCCAGCTCAGTCATGGAAGGCTCAGGTGGCCTCTGTGGGTAAAAGTGCCATTTTCAAACTGCAGCTGGTTTGACAACTACAACCAAGTCCTGGACTGGGAGAGCCTGGCCACAGGAGTTCGTGCACTGGTTCCTTCAAGGCTGGATTACTCTATGTGGGGCTTCCCTTGCACTTGATCCAGAAGCTACAGTTTAGTGCAGGATGCTGCAGCATGATGCTGACAGGTGTGACGCCTTGCCAGCACCCAACCCCTGTGCTCAAGAGATCTACACTGGCATGGCTGTCATCTATAAAGGCCTAAATGCCTTGAGACCAGTTTGCCTGCAGGATGGCATCCCCCCATATACACCCACCTGACTGCTTTGATCAGCAGCACTGGCACTGTGGCAGATGCCACAGTCAGGGCTGTCTTACCCATAGGCGCAAGGTGTGTGGGGCACCCGGGTGCCAGGCTCTTAGGGGCGCCAGGCCAAGAGTCCGAGAGCTGAGTCCAGGGAAGAGCCTGCCCGTTGGTCAGAGCTCCGTGGCAGACTCTTCGGGGGTGACCGAGCCAGCAAGATGCTGAGGCAGCCGGCTGGCTCCGCACTCCTGTGCGCCTGGGACTGGGCAAGCTGGGGGGGGGCGCCGGGCAGATCTTTTCACCTCGGCACCGCATATGCTCAAGACAGCCCTGGCCACAGTTGTAAGAACTTGAGCTTTGAGAGTTGCAGCACCCAAACTCTGGAACTCCCTGCCTCTTGATATCAGGCAGGCGCCTTCCCTGGACTTTTTATGGCGAAAAACATTTTTTGTTTATACAAGCCTACCCAGATGTTTAGAAAGGCAACACAAGTTTTAAGCTGTTTTCAGTCTATTGTTATTTTAATTTTCCAAAAGTCTTTAATCATTGTTAATCCTTCTTACTGATCATTTGTTTGTTTTATCCTTTGTAAAAAAAAAAACTTTTTTGAGGGTTGTTTTCCCCCCACAATCAAGCAGTGTATAAATTTTATGAAATAAATAGTAAGGGTCTACACCCAGCACAGAAGGGAATGATAGAATTTGTGGAACAAGTGACAGATAACAACAATAAGGAAGTTCAGGCTTCAGGAATGGAGAGACGTCCGCCTGCCTTGGAGATGCCACAGGGCTCTTTAAAGCAGTTTGTGGCAACCAGGTTCCTTCCAGATGTTTTGGACCGAAATCCCCAATAGCGCCAGCTCACACATCTGTGCTAGCCAGTCAGAAACATCTGGAGGGCACCCAGATGGCAAAGGCTGATTTAGAGGAAATTGGAGGAGCTCCCCAACATCTTCAGGTCTGCATAATTAAACTTTTTTGCCTTGCCTAAGGAAACAGGCAGCAGGTCAATGAATGGAATTATTTCCATGGAGAGACCAGCTCTGGATCTAGAAGCTCCGAGATGCTACAGTGGGTGGCAATAGGCAAGGCTTCAAAGAATGCTTGGAGAACTGCAAAGAGGACTGGTCCCTTCAGCAGTCACAGGGCCACCCTCCACATTCAGGGACAGCAGGCTTCCATGGCTGGGGCTCTCAGGTGGGAATCTCCACAAAACATGAGGCTGTTTGTTGCCAGCAGACTGAATACTGCATTGAGCTAAGCTGACCCAGCAAAGGCAAAACTGTACATCACAAATTAACACAATACTCTCCCTCGGGTGTCACCTGGGGCAGCCATTCCATCGGATGGAGAGATAGGAAGCCAGATTCATGCCATCAGCTTTGCTGAAAGCCCAGCTCCATCAGGCGCCTCCTGCCCCCGAACTGGGCCCGCTGCTCATTATAGGAACAAAAGGCTCTTTAGAAACTGGTGCCTGAGCTTGGTTTTTCTTTTCCTCTTCCCTCCCAATCCCCTTCCCCTTGTGTGCTGTGGTTTTTTTTACATTGTAAGCCTGGGGGCAGGGAGCGTCCTGTTGTAAATGTACGTAAATCATTTCCAGAGCCTTTTTAGCCAAAAACCAAATGCTCTCAATAACCATAATGGCTGGATTCTGCACCAAGGAAAGCCCAATTGTGCAGCAGTCTGCAAAAGACACACAGGCCCCAATCACACCATACACTGAAAGCACTATGATACTACTTTAAATAGTCATGGCTTCTCCCTAGTCAATCCCTCTTCACAGAGAAGTCTGAGAACGGAAGCTCTGGGAGGAGAACAGGGCCCTTAACAGACTACAGCTCCCACAATCCTTTGGGGGAAGCCAGGACTGTTTAAAATGGCATCCTAGCCCCTTAAATGTGTGAGCATGGCTCAACTCTACAAATAAATTCACAGACACACATCTCCCCACATCAGACTTTATTTTTGTTTTTTTTTGTCTTCTCTGTTGCTACTTGAAGAAAATATAAGGCTTGGATGAGCAGTGATCCACTTAAGGCCTAAAATGGTTCTTGTGCCTCAGAAACCAATATACAGTGGTACCTCGCAAGACGAATGCCTCGCAAGACAAAAAACTCGCAAGACGAAAGGGTTTTTGGTTTTTTGAGTTGCTTCGCAAGACGATTTTCCCTATGGGCTTGCTTCGCAAGACGGAAACGTCTTGCAAGTTTGTTTCCTTTTTCTTAACACCGTTAATACAGTTGCGACTTGACTTCGAGGAGCAACTCATAGCACACGGTGTGGTAGCCTTTTTTGAGGTTTTTGAAGACTTTGGTGATTTTTGAAGCTTTTCCAAAACTTTTCCGACACCGTGCTTCGCAAGACGAAAAAATTCGCAAGACGAAAAAAATTGCAGAACGAATTAATTTTGTCTTGCGAGGCACCACTGTATCTGAAAAGGCAACAATGGGGAAAGTGAGGAAAGGAGGCAGGTTGCAGGTAGTTCAAAGGGTGAGAAGTTATCCCTGAAGTAAACAGTTGCAAAAAGGAGTGAGAAAATATTTTGACTCCGGTGAGATTAAAAATGTCACTCAAGAAAGGTAACTGAAGGCTGGTTTTCATTATTACTTCTTTGTGCAAATCAGACACACACACTTCGCTGGCATCTGTTGTGGAGAAACACCTAATTCAGTCAGCACATCAAAAAAACAAGTACAAACAGCCATACCTGCTGCACCATCGAAGCATCTAACTATACAGGAATCCCAAAATATACAGAGATTATAAAATATTAGGAATATATATATACAGTACCACTTAGCTAAGCTTTATTGCCAGGCGCCCCTCATTTCCCGAGACTAGTTATAAATAAATCTGTTAGATAAAGATTATAAAATACTTTTTAAGCTCTTGAACGAGCAGGACAAAAAGTTCAGGAAGATCCTGGAGATGATCTCCAGGTTGTATTGCTTCAGTTTTGGTAGAAATGCATTTCTAAGTCGAGCTTCTCCAGAGGCTGAGACTGGCCGGAGGGGCTGCTCACAGTGACCAGGAGACCATCTGCTGGAGGAAGCGGGTGGGGCAGAGAGAGGCGCTTGGTCAAGCCTTGTAGCTCAGTTCAGCATTCATCTTTGTGTACATTTCGTAGATTGCATCCAGGATGGGTGTCGCCTTGGAGAGGAACTGGTGGATCTTCTCTAAGGTCTCCTCTTCCTTCACCTCTTTGCCTTTTTCCAGGGCTTTCAGCAAATCCGATTTGTAAGGGAGAGCATACACAGAGCCCTGGGTATCAAAGAGATACAGAATAAACCCAAGTCACACGAAGCAAGAAACGCCAGCTAGCGCAGTTGGTTAGAGCGGGGCGCTGAGAACGCCAAGGTTGCAGGTTTGATCCCCAGATGGGACAGCTGCACATGCCCGCATCACAACAGGTTGAACTAGATCAGGCATCTCCAACTTCAAGCAGGCTGCGATCTACTCCCCAAAACTGGCAGTGGTCTACCCATTGTCATTGGAGGGACGAAGAGCGTGTTTGGGGTGCGTGTGTGGAAGGAGGTGGCTAACTGGACGCAGGAGGGCGGAGTTTAAGTGGGGGGGGGAAGGAAAGGGAGGCAAAAGTTCTCTCTTTGAGGAGCCAGTAGGCTTCTCTCTCCCCCACCCCCAAGGCAGCCCTAAAGCAGCTGCTGAAGCATGGCCAGTCAAGAATTTAACGTGGATTGGTGACCTTTTCCTTCAAAATTATAGGCAGGGCTTCGTATGCCAGTTTCACCATTTCCTTCACTGGGTGCAGGAATTTTATTGTCTGTTTAAACAGGACTCTGTTTTTGCACCTACACATAAACACACACCACTTTTAATTATTATCTGAGATGTGGAGGGGAGGGAAAAGGAAAAGCAGGACATTCCAGGACCAATCAGAAACCGGGATGGCTTCAGTAATTCCAGGAGTGCCCCTGGAAAATCAGGACACTTGGAGAGGATGTGAATCCCTCTCTTTAGCTTTGCACTCATTTGTCATGTTCAGAGTGAGGCTTCATTCGCATCATACATTTAAAGCAGTCTCAGACCACTTCAACAGCCATGGCTCCCCCCCCCCAAAGGATTCTGGGAGCTGTGGTCTGCACGGTTGCTGAGAGGTGTTAGGAGACTCCCCTCAGAGGCCTACAATTCGCAGAGCTCCATGTGACGGTTGAACCACCCTGGGAATTGCAGCTCTTTGAGGGGAACAGGGGACTCCCAACAGCCCTCAGCACCCTTCACTAACTACAGTGCCCAGAATTCTTTGGAGGGAGCCGTGACTGTGCTTTCAGCGTCTGGTGTGAATGAAGCCTGAGTTATCTCTGCCCTCCTCGCCCAGAAGACCAGTGCACAGGGCTGCCCTCCCTCATCCCCCAGGAAAAGTGCCAACATGCCAACCCAGTCAGACGACGGGAGGTGTGGCAAAACCGCCTGGAGTTAAAGACCCACCCCACCTGAACTGCAGTGGAAAATAAATATTGTACAACATGGAGAGCAGACCAACCTACTCTTAAGGATGATCTACTGTTTTGTCTTGTTTAAGAAAAAAAGGTAAAAAAGAGGGGGGAGTACTTCTTTTATCAGTTGAATGCAAATCTAGGGAACTCTCTGCTCCTGGATGTTTGGGCATGTCTGCGTTCTGCAACTGGCAAGCACAGAAATGGATGGTGGGTGGGAGGCCCAATGCTGTGAGAATTTCAGTCCTCATGACCAGCAAGACAGACTTGAAAGCATGTGTAGAACAACAGCTAACCTCAGGAACCAGAGAAGTGGGGAAGGAGGGGAGGGGAGCTGGATTTCCAAGATTTCCTCAGCGCCTTGTGCTGCTTCACCCCTCCTAGTGACTAGCAGAATTACACACACACAGGTGGAAAATATTATGCCCATGGCAGAATTCACCTTGTTTTCCGGGTGCAAGACTCAGGTTACCTTAGTGCAGAATTCCTTCAAAATGCAAAACAGGTATAACTCTGGGTTAGATTTCTACACTGAGAACAGGTTAGTCAGTGGCTATTAGCCTTCCTAGCCTGAAGCACAGTCGGCAATGGGATGTCCAGCAGGGTTCTCCTTAAGACCCATCTAGGTCAGCATCCAACAGGGGCCCAACCAGACCATTCTGGGGCAAATCCACAACCGAGGCATCTCCTGTAGCTCTCCCTGCCCCCGTAGCTGGCATTCAAAGAGAGACTGCTTCAGAATAAGGAGGTTCCTTCAGCTATCATTTCTGCTTACCTCACAGCTCTGGCCACCTCACCACAAAAAAGGAGACTGCAGAACTGGGAAAGGTTCAGGAAAGGGCCACCCAAACAATCAAGAGGCTGGAGTGCCTCCCCCATGAAACAAGGCTGCAGTGTTTGGGGCTTTGTAGTTTAGAGAAGAGGTGAGTGAGAGGCGACACGACAGGAAGCTTATAAAATTAGGCACGGAGCCCCTTGGGATCAGGCTGGCTCAGCTGGGTGGCTCTTGCGAGCTCCACTCACCAAGAACAGCTTCTGCAGCATCCAGCCGTGGTACTTCCTCAGTGCCAACTCATAGGCCTTGGTGGCATTGACCCGGATGAGGTTTGGGTTCTCCTCGTCCCTCTCGCCATCACACAGGCTCTGCAGCAGAACCTGGATGAACTTCAGGCCCCTGCGGGAGAAACGGGGCAGGTGAGGCGGGGGGAGGACACCTGCCCTGCGAGAGGCACCTGCCAGGCACCGCCAGGAAACGCAGCACCCAAACCTTTTGTCACTTAAAAGAGGCCTGTTGTGAACTAGAACTCCCACTGCCCCTGACCACTGGCTCCACTGGCTCCAGAGGCTGATGGGAGTGGCTGTTATTTGCATGCCGCCCTCCGTCAGACCATCCCAGGCTGGTTCACAACAGAAAAATACAAAATGAGAATGCAAAATACATTGTAAGACAAAAAAAAGAAGAAGCCAATGACCACCATCCCCTCCCAAAAAACGAGAGCAGCAGCACAGCTTCCTTCATAGTGGAGAAAACGGAGCAGCTGGAATCCTCTGGAGACCCTGGTGGGACTGAAGCCCCGCCCCGCCCTGGTCTCTCTCGCAAAAGAAGTGAAATTGGACCGAGGACTGAAGACTCGAAGCAGGAGTCCTCTGGGGTAGAAAGATTAAACTGGCTGCATGCTGGGGGTGGGCAGAGCAACACAGTGAACAGGTGAGCTAAGCCTGCTAAGCCTTGAAGAAGCGCACAGCGTTGAGCAGTGTTCAACAGCAGGTTGAAATGGATTAAAATAATAATTTGTTTTATTTTACTTATAACAAATACCTCTATGCACATGGTATCCAACCCTTCCTAGCTGCTGCATCACAGCTACCTTCCAGATTCTTACAAACCATCCTTTTACTATCAGTATTTTTTCATTCTTGTGTCACTATTAGTGCTTCTTTACTCCAGCTGATCACCCATCTATACTAATAAAGTTGTCAAAATGGGGGGGGGGGAGAGAGACAGGTTATCAGTGAAATGGTTTTAATCACTGATGCTAACATTTCCCACCAAAGGCAGTACATAGTATATTCAGACCATTTTTCTTTTGTATTTGTGCAGGGATTGGTCCCGATTAAAGACTTCACACCAACAATTCTGTTCCTATGTTTTCCTGCCAATTCTCATCCTCCACTCTCTCCTAAAGCTTGGATCATATTGTGGCAGGAAACACATTTTGGAACTCCCTGCCTATTGACATAAAACAGGTGCCTTTGCCAGGCTCTTTTCAGCACTGGCTAAAAATGTTTTTGTTTAGGCAAGGGACGCTGGTGGCGCTGTGGGTAAAAGCCTCAGCGCCTAGGGCTTGCCGATCGAAAGGTCGGCGGTTCGAATCCCCGCGGTGAGGTGCGCTCCTGCTGCTCGGTCCCAGCGCCTGCCAACCTAGCAGTTCGAAAGCACCCCCGGGTGCAAGTAGATAAATAGGGACCGCTTACTGGCGGGAAGGTAAACGGCGTTTCCGTGTGCTGCGCTGGCTCGCCAGATGCAGCTTTGTCACGCTGGCCACGTGACCCGGAAGTGTCCCGGCCTCTAGAGTGAGATGAGCGCACAACCCCAGAGTCTGTCAAGACTGGCCCGTACGGGCAGGGGTACCTTTACCTTTATCTAGCGATGCAGAATGTTGACATGTGTTTCAACGTGTTTCTAGCTTTATCATCAGTTTAAATTACCGCATTTTTCGCTCTATAAGACGCACCAGACGATGAGACGCACCTAGTTTTTGGAGGAGGAAAACAAGGAAAAAAATATTCTGAATCCCAGAAGCCAGGACAGCAAGAGAGATCTGGCTTCTGGGATAGCCTCTTGCTGTTCTGGCTTCTGGGATAGCTGCATGAAGCCTCTCCCGGGCAGCGGGATGAAGGCTCCCCCTGCCTTCAAGAGGCTGTGCGCGGCTAAGCTGCCCTCTGTCCCTTCCCCCACCTCCCGCAAAAGCCAGCCAAGAGCCGCGCGCTCTTTAAAGGGAGCGTGGCTCTTGCGGGCTTTTCTACGAGGTGGGAGAAGCCCTGTCAGCATCCACTCCATAAGGCGCACACACATTTTCCCTTACTTTTTAGGAGGGAAAAAGTGTGTCTTATAGAGCAAAAATGCGGTAATTTCTGAAAGTTTTAAATAGCTGGTTTTTAATTGCTTTTTTGACAATTGTATTGTTTTATTCTTCTTGTAAGCTGCTTTCAGGTTTTTCTTCTTACAATCAAGCAGTCTATAAATTTCATGAAATAAATAAAATTATTTTGCAGAGTAAATAAAGACTCTCCTCTACTGGAGGTTTTAAAGCAGAACTTGGATGGCCACCTGCCAGAGGTTCTTGAGCTGCGATTCCTGCATTGAAGGGCTGGACTAGATGACTCTTGCAGGTCCCTTCCAGCTCTACAACTCTATGATGCCAAGTGTTGTCTTTCCCTCTGGCACTCCACACCCAGGTGGGTAGGGAACAAGGGCCTCAGCTATTCCCCCCGACTCCTTGTTGCATTTTCATAGCTCAGGGTTTGCTGGTACCTCTCAGGTCTTTTGGACCAGAACTGCCATCTGCCCCGGCCAGCATGGCTCTCCTGCTGGGACGGAGAGCAGTTGGGAGATGAAATCTTCTGGAGGATTATTCGTTTGGCAGAGGGTGTTGGGTGACCACATTACATCATCCCGTCAGCCCCCCAGGCGCCAGGGAGGCCTCCAAGCCACCACCCTCCAACCCGCAGGCACCTTTTCAGCCACATGAGTGCCAAGGTTGCCCCAACTTTTGGCCAAGCCGCTCCATGCATCTCCTTCTCCGCTTCCAAGATGTTCTGCAGCGTTTTGAACTTGGTTGGATTCGATTCGTAAACAGCTCGTATTTTCTGAAATGGAACCAAACGAAAAGAACACAGAAAGGTCAATTCAACAACACAGAGAACACGGCACAGGTGACAAATAGCAAAAAATCAAGAGTCATTTTTGCTGTTTGTTTCTACCATCTCCCTTGTACATCTCACTCTTTTTTTGAGGACCGAGGGGAAGGCAGTGGCTGCTACCAATTTTGAATTCTCACCATGTAATTAAAAATGTTTTTAAGTAGGGGCTGCTTCCTCAATGGCTAACACCCACCTGCCCACTGGCTCCCCTTTCCCCACACCTGGCCGCCTCATCCTCCCTCTACACCTGACCAATGCTCCCTCACTTTTGACAAACTGCTTTCTGAAGCACCTTGCTCCTTTAAACAAGCTCACTTGAGCCACCAGCCACACTGGAGTTGCCATGCCTGTGAACTGCAGCATGACAACAGACTTGTGATTTTTTTATACAAGCAAGAAACACCACCTTCAACAAGAGAATTATAGAATTGTAGACTTGGAAGGGACCCTGAGGGTCATTTATTCCAACCCCCTGTAATGCAGGAATCTCAACTAAGGTTGCAAGATAGGAAATGCCATATATCTGATGAGGCTGTTTGTCCATCTAGCCCAGTACAGCATATACTATTCTGATTGGTGGCAGCTCTCCAGGGGGTCTTTGGCAGCAAGGGTCTTTCCCATCAGCCGCCCTCTTAACTGAAGATGCCTGGGGGGGACTGAACCTGGAAACCAGGGCCAAAGTTAATGGGGGGGGTAGCCAGAGTCTCATCCCTGGATGAAGCCTAGAGGGACACCACTGAGGCTCCCAGCTTGCAGGGGCTTCCTCTGACCACGGCCCCTCCTTGCGGCTGGAGAGTCTTTCATAGAGTGGATCCGGAGCTGCTGAGAACCAGAGGGATTCTAATTTGCTAGGGGATGCAAAAAAAACCTGGAAAAAGATCCTCCTTCCCCTTTCCCCCTGCCTGTTTTTGGAACCGTTTGCAAAAGAGAAATCCTGGAGAAGGTTGCTCTCCAAGCAAAGTTGAAAAGGGGAAGCTTTATTTCTTTCTTCCTTCTTTTGTTTCCCTCAACATCTCAGAGATCAATTAAAAGCGGTGAAGAGATCAGAACACCACCTCCTGCCCTCTTTGGGAACAGAAGCACTTTGGAGTATTGCTTGCTTATGTGTTTGTGTTCTCTCTCTCTATCTATCTATCTCTCACTGTGTGCTTGGATCTAGAGGACAACATACACGTTTACACCATGAGAATACATAAAGAGGGCACTGGTGTATATGATCAGCTACAAAAACTGAGTCCTCTTTATACTGAAAATAAAATACCTGTAATGAAAGAAATGTGATGCTGATATACAAAGCACTTTGTATTTATCCCTTCCTGTAATTTGGAAGGAAAATGTAGCCAATCCACTTTAAATTATTCAGCAATTTTTTTAAGGAAACTTGTGGAGTATTTATTCTTTTATTTTATTATTTAGAGCCTTAAACTGCAAGCCTTTACTACTCAGAAGTCCCAATGAATTCAAGGGAGCTTACTCCCATGTAACTGTGTAAAGATTCTGCAGTCTTATACTGCAATCTTAAGCACTTTTACTCAAAAGTAAGTCCCACTGAGTTCAATAGGACTTAAGTCTTTGGTGTGTGCCTGATTATTATCACAGTTTCCATCATTAGGAGTAGGAGAGACCCAGAGTCAATATCTAACTACAGGCCAATATCGCTATTAAATTGCGATCACAAACTTTTTGCCAAATAGACTTACAGAGGCCATCAATGAAATTATACACCCAAATCAGTCTGGGTTCCTCCTGGGAAGACAAATCTCGGCCAATACTAGAAACATTGTAGACATTTTAGAATATTTAGAAGCCAAAAATGATAAAAAAGCTGCCTTATTATTACTCGATGCAGAAAAGGCATTCAACAATGTTTTGTGGTATTACATTAATAAACAATTGGAGGTTATGGGTCTAGGAACAAAATTCAGAAAAGGAATAGAGGCAATATATGAACAACAAAAAAGCAAGGTTAATAATAAATGGTAATCTAACAGACAATATCCCTATAACTAAAGGAACCAGACAAGGGTGCCCCTTGTCACCTCTGCTATTTATATTAGCTTTAGAACTGCTGCTGAATAATATCAGGAAAGAAGGAAAAATAAAAGGAATTACAGTCAGAGAGAAATATAAAATCAGAGCATCGCAGATGATATACCGTATTTTTCGCACCATAGGACGCACTTTTTCCCTCCTAAAAAGCAAGGAAAATGTGTGTGCGTCCTATGGAGCGAATGCAGGGGGGAGGCAGGCGGCAAAAGCCCTCAAGAGCCGCACACAAGCTTCGTGCGCTCTTGCGGGCTTTTCTCCAGGAGGGAGAAGGGACTGACTGGCTGTAGCAGTCCCTTCTCCCTCCTGGGGGAAAAGCCCCCAAGAGCGGCGCCCTCTGACCATGGACTGTGGCCAACACAGTCACTAGTCAGGGATGACGGGCATTGGTCAACAACAGCAGTTAGTAGGTTACAGGTGCCCCACCCCACTATCCTGGGTTCAATCTTAGAATTGTCAATATCAGTGGAGCAGAAATATCTTTAAAAAGGGGAAAACAGCACATCAATTAGCCCAAAAAGGGGGGGGGACACATAGACAATAAACACATCAAACCCCCTCCCCCAGAAACCCAACAGAAAATCCACATATTGATTGCAGAAAATCAATTCTGGAAGATGCAGTGTCCAGAAATACATTTTTTCTTTTTTCTTTTTATTAAAACACTGTTCAGAATTAGTTAAAACACTTTTGAGGTACAGTGAATAAAATACAACTTCTAAGTTGTAAAGCAGGGTCATCGCAGCTTGGCAAAAGGGGGGGCGGGCGGTGCCCTCCAGCCCCAAGCATGTCCTTCAAAACTTGTAAAAGCAACTTCTTTGAATGAGAAAAAGTATGTGTCTGTGTTTGTTTGTTAAATAATAAACCAATGGTCTTTTGCAAAAGGAGCCCCTTCAATAGGCAGCCACAGGAACCGGGGCGCTGTGCCACTGAAAGTTAAGATCCAAAGGCGGACCATGAAAGGAAGACTCTTCAGGGGTGTCTGTTGGGTTTGCTTTGCCTTTTAATGCCCCCCCCCCCGATGCTGGGCTCTCCCAGAGGCCTGCAGTGGAGCTGGAATATTCCTCTGTGGAGCAGCCACAGTACTTTGTCAAAGGATGGTTTCTCGACAGACTCCGATTAAGCTGTGTGGCCTCTCTAAGCTGGGGCCAACGTGGGCCCTGTGTAACAAGGCCACCGGAGAGCTCAGTGCCCCACAGCTCTGTAGGTGGAGGTCTTCCTGAAGCCGTTTTCTTGAGGTATCCACATTCTGTCGGGAGCTCATGATCACCTGCAGAGAAAGGCACAAGTTGAGAGCAAGGAGGAAAGCGAGATACAGAGCAGAGCCAGAGGTGGGCAGACTGCAGACTTCTGGGACGGAAGGTTACGTTACTTTTTCCTTTATTCATATTCTGCCTTTTGGACCCACAAAAACACTAAGAGACAGCAAGAAAAAGTACTTAAACAGAAGCTCCGCCTTTTAGGGGTCTGAGGTAAGGGGTGGGGCAAGGCAAGTGGAATAGCTTGCCCCTGGTGGTTCCAGCAGGCGCTTGTAGCAAAATTTGCTGCTGCTTTTTAAAAAGCTAGAACCTCGAGAGCCGCTGCCTGGTGCAAAATGGGGGGGGGGGTATCTGGGTGGTGGTGGAGCCGGATGCAAAATCGTGGTTCAAGGAGTCAAGCCAGTTACCTGCTGGCACTTTGTGGGGTGCACCGTGGGATGACCTGCACCCCCAAATTACCTCTGAGTCACTAGAGATCACAGAATTGTGATCTTTATTCCCTAGCCACAAAATCGTACAAGTGTAAAAAAATAAAAAGTACACCGATCAAAACATAATGAAAACAGAGAACATAATCTGGTGCAACACCCAACATCTTAGGAAGGTAGGAACCTGGATGGTGATGAACTACAATTCCCATCAGCCCCAGCAAGTGTGGCCAATGGCCAGGGATGATGGAAGTTCTTTTCTCACCTTCATTCAGTTCCCCACCTACTTTGGTTTGCCTTGTGTTCTCTGAGATGGTGGCAAACCCTCCCCCCAATTTCTCCCTGTCAGTTTACTTCTTCCATGCCTTCCAGCCTGTTTTCCTCATTCTGCCAGCCCTGCCTTGCTCTACATCCTACTCTCCTCTAGTGTGTGTTTCTCTCTGTGTGAATCTGCCAGCCCACTTGAAGATGCAGGTCCCACCCCCCCACCCCCCCGGGCTGAGTCCCTGCCTTCCTGCCTGCATGAAGCTTCTTGTTGAAGTTTGTGACTGCTTGGCTGATAGTGTGGATGTGCATCTATGAGTCCCTGTGTCTGCCTGCCTGCCTTCTCCTATGCCCGCCCCCCCACCTCTGCTTTGCTGGCCTGTTTGGTACCATCTGGCCACATCTGTATAAGTTGGCACTGCCATGCAAAAGGGCTGGGCATTCCGCACATGTACATGGAATCTGCATCCACTTTGATGCTGAGCTCAAAGCAACCTAACTGTGACTAGTTTTGATATCAAATTTGAAAGTAGCAATTTCGCAGAGATCCCTAATCTGGAGGGTGTCGGCTGCCCTCTGCCTGGCCTGGCCATTGCCTTCGCTCTGCTGTTCCCCAGTGACTGGTATCCAGCAGCAAACTGCCATGGAACAAGGAGATTCTACCATGGCCGTCGTTACCCAAACCAAAACGTTAAAGCTGCCCACCTGGTCAATGATGTTTGCACTGAAGATGGCTTCTTCCATGTGCCGCTCGTCAGACTTGATGACCGACCGGATGCTGTTCACCACATGACGCACCTCCGGGGGAAGGTTGCAGTTCGAGTGCTCCAAAAACTTGGCCACCAGGATCTTCGTGTCCTTGTAGGCTTGCAGGTCCACCAGAGAGTGGGGACGCTCCTTGCAGATGGTCTGGAAGGCCTTTGGCTTCCGGAGCGTTCAGCCTTTTTGGGGTCCCTCAATTTTCCCACTGGATGGAGCTGGTTTCTGGAGTCCTGATAAGTAGAGGCAGCCACGTGAGGACCAGAGGCAGGAACTAAAACCGAACGGGAAGGAGAAATGTTATGAAGGCAGTGGGGAGAAACAGCGCTAATTCAGACACAAGGCCCACAGCGCGTTCAGTGGGTCATTGTTACCACCACCAGTGCCTATAGACAGAGCCAGCCCACTCATGAGACAGATGGAAGCAGCTGCTGTGGGCAGCAGAATCCAGGGTGTGTGCGCCTGCTCCTGCTGCCGGGGTTGAGCTCTCCTGAGCTCTCCTGGGACTTTGTGAGACCTCGCTGGAAGCTAGCAAGCGAGGCTTTGGCAGGGTTGGGGGCAGTTGGGCAGCACCTTCCCATTTCACCGGAGGCAGCAAAATGAGACAGGCACACCCCTGGCTGTATAAATCACTGTTCTGATATTATAAGGATTGTTCTGATTGTTCAATGCCTGCCCTGTCATGATCAGTCAGCTCTCTAGGCCTCATGCAAAGGGGGCACCACATGGGGGGAAAGCTGTGGCCTTCTGCCAGTGGTCCATTCCCTGGTATCACACATTGCACACAATATATGCATATATAAGAGAAATGCACACTAAATGCTGAGGCTAACTTGATAACAGAAAGAAAATGAGCCTTCAGTGTCATTGGTCCAGTCCTGTGGAATACTCTGCCACTGGATATTCAGCAGGCACCTTCTGTGCCGACTTTTAAATACTGGCTGAAAAGTTTTCTTTTCTGCCAGGTCTATGCAGCCAATTAAGAATACATCCTTTTAATATGGTTTTTAATATGGTTTTTACTGTATGGTTTTATGTATTTTTGCTGGAAACCAGTTTGATATTTTTAATGAAATAGTTGTCTATTAAATATTTTATAAATTAATAAATAAAATGCTGACAACATTTAAAAAAAATGCTAACTGATGCATTAGTGGCAAACTGAACTTTAAATGGAAAAATGAAAAACAGAAGAGAATGCAGTGTTGACAGGTGTGTTCACCCCGCAGTCCAACAACATCTGGAAATGTTATGTTTGTTTGTTTAATTTATAACATAACATTAAGATGCCACCTTTCCTCCAAGGAGCTCAAGGAAGCACATACATCTTTCTTCTCCTCCCCACTTTTGTCCCCCAGAACAACCTTGTGAGGTAGGTTAGGCTGAGAGGAGTGACTGGCCAAAATCCCCCAGGTGAGCAACACGCCTGAGGGGGGATTCAAACCCTGGTCTCCCAGGTCCTAGTCTGGCACTCTAACCACTACACCGCCACTGGCTCTGTTGACCAGTATCTCAGCAGGCGACACTCACCTTCAGTGGCAGACGAACATGACAGAGGGTCACTAGTGGATCGGACTATGCTGGAAATCCTGGTTTTCCTCGTGTGCTGTTGGGCCATCCTCTCTGGGCAGCTGTGGGGCAAACTGTTTGCAGGCACTGAGCAATGGGCATGGTGAGTCTGTGGCCCAGCGGGTGGGATGAAGACCCCGCAACACATCTTCCGTGGCTTCTGAGGGGGTGTGGTTTTGCATTCTCTGACTGAGCTGCGTGAATCTCTCCTGGAGGCAGTGAAGTTCTCTGAGGAACAGTCTGAGGAGCGGCGACGGGAGCAGGTCTCGGGCTTCTGGCCACGAGAGCCATTCACAGAGGTCTGGCTGGCCTCGTCGCCTGGGGAACCCTGTGAGCGAGTCCTATGCAGCCCACAATGGATGCTGTAGTCTAAGCTGGAGCAGCTCCTGTTTACGGCACCTTTGTGGGTTGCTTCGTATGAAGAGAAGTCCGTGGAAAGGAGGGATCCTGACTTCCAGGAACAGAGGTCCTTCTGAGGAGGAGCTGAGTGCTCAGGGGTGTTCAGCGCTTCGAGGCACAGTGCTGGTCTGCCCGGAGGCTGCAAAACAGAGACCCGAGTCAGAAAACTGCTGCAGTGGGCCACTATTGACACAGGCCACCTGTTTTTATGGGAACCAGTCAAAAATGCAAAGGGAGAATGAAAGTGAACAGAGGAAGTAGTGATCCCATAAAGTGCCAACCTGGTTTTAAATCAGCTGCACTGGTTGCCAGTTCATTTCCCGGCTCAACTCAAAGGTGCTTCAGACTTAAAGCCCTAAAATGTTCAGCCGAAATTCGGAAAGACCCCCTTCTTTGCTAAAGACCCTTTCAGGTGCTGAGCTCAGCAGAGAGGGGTCCTCTTGGTAGTTCCTCTGTCCTCATAGGTTCTCTGCGGTGGCCCCTACGTTGTGGAACTCCCTCCCCACAGAAGTGCACCTGACACCTATATTATACAGCTTTCAGAGAATGCTGCAGATGCACCTCTTTACCCTTACATTTTTTGGACCCACCTGCCTTATGACTGTGAGTTGTTTTAAATTGTTTTTAAATTGTGTTTTAAAGCTGTGACCCACCCTGGGACCCTGGGCTGAAGGTACTGCAACATTATGTTTCTCATGTAGCCCTGAATCCTAAAGCCTGTGCTCTAACAAGAAGCCCTTGCTCCTTTGGGTGATTCACTTGTTTTCAGATAAACTTCCCAGATTTCTTAAATTCTTGGGAAACACTTCTATTTTCCTTCATTTGTCTAGTGGTGTTCTTCCTACAAGCAACTCTCCATGTCGTCTTCTAAGGAAAACCCCAAGGAAGGTTAAATGAAATTTTCCCATATTTGGAGCTGGCTGGCATGTGCAGGCGCATCCTTTGACGAGCGCAAGATAAAGCAATGAGTCCCACACATGAATGGACTGGTGCAGATCTAATGCAGCACTGAACCTCTCTTAATTGCCTCTGATTTTGTGATTTCAGCTGCCAGGTACAGTATCACCACCATCATCATCATCATCATCATGTTATTTGTACGCTGCCTTTCCATGGTTAAAACCAGAGCTTTTTCCCAGGGGGCACTCAAGGGCATGCAGTACCAGCACCTCTTTTTGTGGTTGTCAAAAAGTGTGGCACTTACTCTAACAACTTCATGGTGAGTACAGGCACCTATTTTTCTGGGAAAAAAGCACTGGTTCAAACCATGGTCAAGGCAGTTTACAACATGAAAAGATTTACATAATTACAAAACATTACAAAAATAGTCATAAACAATAAATAAAACACTTCAGAAAGTACACAGCCAAATTGAACAATGGCCACATAAATCACAATAAGATCTAAAAATAAAGATACAAAAAATTAATATTGACAACACCCCAGCCCAGGTGTCTGCTCAGCAGCCTCAGCTTTTGCAGCTGGAGTCAGTCTGGGCCCGCCTTCCCCAGACCAGGTGGAAAAGCCCTGCAAGGCAGGGAGCAGGTCTTCCCGGAGTCTCAGCCAAGGTGGCCTGTGGTCACAAGCACAGGCATCAAAGTGGGCACGAGTGAATGTGCCAGTGAATGAGCAGTGCATAGATCACCTTGGCTGCTGAAGCCTGCTGTGGTGTTTCTCTCACCCAGACTGGGCTCTGTGACTTGCTGGTCCACAGCGGTGACCTGTGAATAGCAAAGAAAAGAAAAGAAAATCAGGAGCGGAAGCTAATGGAACCAGAGCATTCACCATCAAAGAAATCACTCGAGATTTAGCTGCTCACAGCCCAGTCTTGTGCATGTTGATTTGGAAGTCCCATGGAGCTATGCTGGATCCTGAACCAGCATCTCTGCGGTCATATGCTGACACCAGACCCCGTCCCTGTGCCATCTCCAGGCCGATGGAGCATGCTCTGCAGGGATCTCACTGCTCCATTGAGCCCTAAGGGGCAGACCTGACTTGTACTCAGAATTCCAGTCCAACATGATGAACATGGAAGCAGGAGAGTCTTTGACCCAGTGGGCTTTTGCCTCTGGTACTACCCACTGTTGGCCTGTGGCCCTCAACAGGAAAAAGGTTGCCCATCCCTGCTTAGGTTGTTGCTTGCCATCTGAGGAAAGGGCAGCAGCTCACTGGGAGAGCATCTGCTTTGCATGCAGAAGGTCCCAGATTCAATCCCTGTCTAACTATTCCTGAAGAATAGCTGGTTCTGATCATGTGATTTATACTTGCTCCCGATTTGCATGGAATTACATTAGCCTTCCTCAAACTGTCACCCCCCCCAAGCTCCCAAAATGCCTGAGCATTGGCCATGCTGGCTGAGACTGATAAAAGCTGGGTTGGGCAGGTTGGGCACAGATGAAGAGGGATCAGATCCTGAATTCCTTGAACCCTTCTATCCCAGCTAGATCACTGAGATCACCAGCAGGAGTGTCGTTGGTCATTCCCTGAGCTGGCTCAATGGACAATCAGAAATGGAGCCTTTAGTGTCATCGGCCCAGTCCTGAGATTCAGCACAGCTTCTGGGGCAAGTTTCAAAGGCCTCCTGACTATGCAGGCCATGAAGAAGACATCTTTCCACAATAGTTACCTGATTTCTACTTTTAACTTATTTTTGATGGTTTTCGTTGTACAGTGTTATAGTTTATTGCTGTAAACCACTTGGATTTTTTTAATTAAAAAATGACATAGCAGTATATGAATAGTTTTTAAACAAACCAACAATCCTCCCACTAGTGGTCTCTCTCACCTGATTGGCTGGGCTTTGTCCAATAACTGCTTCATAGGGGGGGCAGCTCAGATGGATAGAGCATTCCAGGGCTGTTGATGGCAACCTCGTACAAAGCGCCAAAGGGTGAGTGAGGAAAGTCCAGGTGGAGCCCTCTAAACAAGCACACACACAGTGACAACAATAATCAGCAATAGAGAAAGCCATCAACAACTGGGGCTTTAACATTTAATCAACAAATCAGTTCAATCAATTAAATCAACTTTTGCTCAGATGAAAGATGTGACCTGATTAATTGGATGGCAGACATTTCTATTACAAAATCTGATTTCTTTTTGAAGGCAACTACTTCTTAAAAGTGCAGAGGACAAGCAACCCCTTAGCAGAGGCATCCCCCTTTCATTCACCCACAGGAGGGAATGCCTCTTTCAAGATTATTCCTGCTATGATGCATTTGGGTTATCTAAAGACAAAAGATGGCATGCTTCTTGCAAAGGCATGCCGATTTACACTGTACTCAATGAATTAACTAAATGTTGTAGGATTTATCAGCTAAGACTTGTTTTGAACTTAAGGAACAGTCCTACTAAGAACATATACAATGAATGAATGAAAATGCTGCCTATTTGAACTGAGCCTGCGGCTCCCAAGAGTGCATTGCTATCTTTCAAAGCCAGCAGCAGCCCTGGAAGAACCCCTCTTTGCTGTCTGGGGCCTGGGACAGGGCAGCAGACCAAGAACCCTTTGCTGAGTACCAGCTCATTCATGTCTCTTGTGTGAACGGTTAGTCACAGGCTAAAGAAATCATTTACCTTTGTGCTTCTATCACAGGAGTGCATGTGTACTCGGGTGGGTAGTAAGGTGGGGTGGAATTGGAGGGATGAACTCGTCAAAATCCAAGGTCTGGTGCCCCAAGATAGTCCCATGGGGCGTCATACAGTCAGGGTTGGCAGAATGAGACCTCTGCGGCAGGAACTGTGTGATACAAGCAGGAGATTCAAGATGCATTAGGAATAGCACTCAGTAGGTTCTAGGAAGTTCATACAGCAAGAGAAAGCACATCAGCTGCTAGTCAGAGCAAAAGGCAAAAACACACTTCCAAAGAACACCCGTATACAAGTAAGGAATCACTGCATAATGTATGTTAAGTTCAGCATTAGAGGGAATGGTCCTAATTACTATGACACACAATCAGCATCGTTATCTTCATCATCGACACCCATTTATTTGTAAGCCCCTTTCCCACAAGATTTGGCTGTAGAAAAAAGCAGTTTACAAAAAGATAAAACAATAATATTATTAAGTAACATTTACAACAATAATTTAAAACATACAAAAAGTAAAAATACTACAGCAGGTTAAAATTCACAGCAGCTTTCTAAGCATCTGAGCAGACTTGTCTAAACAAGAACGTTTTGAGCTGGCACTGAAAAGAGTAGAGTGAAGGCGCCTGCTTGATCTCAAACAGCAGGGAGTTGCAAAGTGTATGTGCTGCCACACTAAATGATTGAGTCAATACAAATGCAGAAAGGGCATTATGAGGAGCCTGTAGTAGTGCCAATTCTGCCAAATGAGCACTTGAGTGGGCACAAGTTGGGTAAAGGTATCTCATAGTTTAGAGAGAGAGAGCGACAAAGAGAGGGGAGGAGGAAGGGGGAGTCTAGTCGAATCTAGTATATATTTTAGAAAACGATTTGTCCACTTGTTCCCTATGTTCAGCCACCTCTAGAGATATCATTGCCACACTCAGCACAAGGGATCCTAAGGTGAGGCAGTGGTCTTCATTGGCTTTTGAACTCCGTAAACCATACTACAACTAATCCAGAATGCAGCAGCTAGACTGGTGACTGGGAGTGGCCGCCGAGACCACATAACACTGGTCTTGAAAGATCTACATTGGCTCCCAGTACGTTTCCGAGCACAATTCAAAGTGACCTTTAAAGCTCTAAATGGCCTCGGGCCAGGATACCTGAAGGAGCGTCTCCACCCCCATCGTTCTGCCTGGACACTGAGGTCCAGCACCAAGGGCCTTCTGGCAGTTCCCTCACCGCGTGAGAAGCCAAGTTACAGGGAACCAGGCAGAGGGCCTTCTCAGTGGTGGTGCCCTGTGGAACGCCCTCCATCAGATGTCCAAAAGAAAAACAACTACCGTATTTTTCGCACATAGGACGCACTTTTTCCCTCCTAAAAAGCAAGGGAAAATGTGTGTGCGTCCTATGGAGCGAATGCAGGGGGGAGGCAGGCGGGAAAAGCCCTCAAGAGCCGCACACAAGCTTCGTGCGCTCTTGCGGGCTTTTCTCCAGGAGGGAGAAGGGACTGACTGGCTGCAGCAGTCCCTTCTCCCTCCTGGGGGAAAAGCCCCCAAGAGCGGCACCCTTTTTAAAGGCTGCGCGGCTCCTGCGGGCTTTTCTACGAGGTGGGGGAATCCCCCACCTCCCAGAAAAGCCAGGAGAAGCCGCACCGCCCCTTTAAAGAGCGTCGGCTTCTGCGGGAGGTGGGGGAAGCTGCAGCAGATTCCCTCCTCCCGGGCTCCCTTTGAAGCGGCAATGTGGGAGGGGAGCAGCTTACACTCGTGTAAGCAGCTCCTCTCCCACTTTCCTCCTTCAAAGCAACTACGGAGGAGGGAAGGAAGAGGACCATGGATCCTCCGCTGCTGAAGCTTCAGCAAGATTCCCCCTCCGTGATTGCTTGAAGCAGGAAAGTGGGAGGGGGGCAAGCCTTACACTCGTGTAAGCAGCTCCTCTCCACTTTCCTCCTTCAAAGCAACTACGGAGGAGGGAAGGAAGAGGACCATGGATCCTCCGCTGCTGGAGGCTTCAGCAGATTCCCCCCTCCGTGATTGCTTTGAAGCAGGAAAGTGGGAGGGGGGCAGCTTACACTCGTGTAAGCAGCTCCTCTCCCACTTTCCTCCTTCAAAGCAACTACGGAGGAGGGAAGGAAGAGGACCATGGATCCTCCGCTGCTGGAGGCTTCAGCAGATTCCCCCCTCCGTGATTGCTTTGAAGCAGGAAAGTGGGAGGGGGCAGCTTACACTCGTGTAAGCAGCTCCTCTCCCACTTTCCTCCTTCAAAGCAACTACGGAGGAGGGAAGGAAGAGGACAATGGATCCTCCGCTGCTGGAGGCTTCAGCAGATTCCCCCCTCCGTGATTGCTGGGAGCTTCTCTGGGCAGGAATTCCCTCAGCTTAAGTGGGGTGGGGGAAGTGTGGCAGGTAGGGGGGTACCTACCTAGACAGTGAAGCCACATGTCTCTCCAATGAAAATTGGGAGTGGGCATTGTGTGAAGTGGCTGTGGATCTCCTGCCGCAGAAGTGTAGGACTGTACAGAGTTGGGAAGGCCACCCGAGGGTCATCTAGCCCAGCCCCCTCACAATGTAGGAATCACAGCTAAAGAACGCCAGGCAGATGGTCCCCCAACCGCTGCTTAAAAGCCTCCAGTGGTGGAGACCCCAAACACCTTCCGAGGTCATAGAATTGCAGGGTTGGAAGGGAACCCCAGGAGTCATCTAGTCCAGCCCCGGTGGACAGCAGGCGCAATCCATCCCGTTGCGCAAGACTAAAGATGCTGCGCAAGGCTAAAGAAGAAGCCAAGGCAGCGAGCGGGATGGATCGCGCTTGCTGCCTTGTCTTCTTCTTTAGCTGCACTGGAGAGGTTTAGCTCCTGGCTGGAGAGGTTGTGCGGCTATGGACCCCGCACGCTGTCTTGGCTTCTTTGCTCTTTGGGGCTGGGGGGGGAACCCGGGCTTCCCCCGCAGCCCCAAGAAGCTCTGGGAGAAGTGGACAGGCTGCATGCAGCCTGTCCGTTGCTCTTTGGGGCTGGGGGGGGGAATAATATTTTTTTCCTTGATTTCCCCCTCTAAAAACTAGGTGCGTCCTGTGGTCCGGTGCATCCAATAGAGCGAAAAATACGGTAATAATAACAACTCAGGATCCAAATCAAAGTATTCCAGCAGGTATTGATTTAATTACAAAATACGGGAAATTAATGGGCCTGAAGATAAACCACCAGAAAACAAAGTTATTGACCAAAAATCTAACACAGGAGAAAACTACAAGGGGAAAAAAGGTCTGGAAATTAAAAAATAAGGCTAAATACCTAGGATTTGGATTTCAAATAAAAATATAAATCTCTACGAAGATAACTATATTAAAACATGGAAAGACATAAAAAAGGGTTTGGAAAACTGGACTAAATGACAGCTTTCCCTTTTGGGAAGAATCTCGGTAATAAAAATAAACATCCTCCCAAAAATGATTTTTTTGTTTCCAACTTTAACAATTCTGGGAAGAATGAAATGCTTCCAGGATTGGAAAAAGGAATTAGCTAGATTTGTCTAGAACCGAAATAAACTGAGAATTAAACATCAGGTATTGATAGACAAAAGGGAAAGAGGAGGATTTGGATTACCAGATCCGGAATTATACCATGCTGCAGCAGGATTAGTATGGCTAAAAAAATGGATTACATTAAAAGAAACAGATGTTTTGGATCTTGAGGAGCACGACAACCGGTTTGGGTGGCACGCCTATCTAATATACGAATAGGTGAAGGTCCACAAAGGTTTCTTAAGCCATGTAATAAGGAAATCACTTTATAAGATATGGAGTAAACATAGAGGAATTTTGGAACCAAAGATACCTTTGTGGATATCTCCAGCAGAACCAATAGCAGTTAAAAGGAAAAACATGAAAGGAGAGTGGCCCACCTACCGGATACTACTAGAACCAGACAAAGAGAAGCCAACTTTTAAAAAATGCCATCTGTCTGATTGGATACAGTATTTCCAGCTAAATCAAAAATTGTGTATAGATAAGAAAGAAGGTCTTGCCAAATAAACTTCCACTTTTGAAAGAGAATTAATATATAATAAAGGAAAGTATATATCAAGAATGTAGTATGAATATCTTTTAGAGTGGGAAGTGAAAGAGGAGCAGGTAAAAACATCAATGATAAGGTGGGCACAAGACTTTGGATATAATATCTATATGGAGCAGTAGGAAAGACTGTGGCAACAAGATATTAAATTTACATCATGTTATAACTTGAGGGAGAATACCATGAAGATTCTTTACAGATGGCCTCACACTCCGTCAAAACTTGCTAAAATGTACAAAGGTAGTTCACCAACATGCTGGCGAAGCAAAAAGGAGATAGGGTCTTACTATCACATGTGGTGGACGTGCATAATTATAAGTGAATTTTGGAACAACATATATGGTGAATTTAAGAAATTATTTAAATTCACTGTTAAAAAAAGGCCGGAGATTTTCCTGTTAGGAATATTGCCAATAGAAATTTAGCTAAACACAAGACCACTGTTCATGTACACAATTACAGCTGCGAGAATACTAGTGGCTAGAAGTTGGAAATGCGAAACTACACCAGCAATAACAGAATGGCAGACACTCATGATAGAGTATTTCCAATTAGCAAAGCTGAGTGGAAAAGTCAGGGGAACCTTAAATCAAAAAGTATACGGAGATTGGAAAATATTTAAGGAATATATAAGACTATATTGTAAAAATGATACCATCCTAGCAGAATTGAATGATATTTGTGTATAATAAATAAATGGAATAAACATCTTAGAGGTATATATGGAAAAAGATATAAAACAAACTGTGTGATAAAATCAAGACAACAGAAAAAGCATAATGAGAACGACTGGAAGCTTTTCACAGAAGACTTTATTGGATAAGACATGATGTATAAATATCTGGTACTTTTAATTGTTTTTTTCTTTTCTTTTTCTTTTGTTACTTTTAAACTTTTTGTACTTTCTGATGTGGAGAATATTTTTCCCCCTTTCTTTTTTTCTTTTCTGTGCTTAACTTTGTTGTACTTACCTTTATTGTAAGATTGTATTTTAAACCAATAAAGATGTATTTAAAAACTTTTAAAAAAAAGGAGTTGTAGTATATCATACAGTCATAATACTTCTTAGAAGTCCTGAAATGATCTCTGAGGAGATCTACTTAAGGTTGAATGAAAGCCAGATGCATACACAGACAGTTTTAGTATTTGGAAAGACTACCGCTTCTCCAGCCTCTTTCAAACTACTTTTTATGCCCTTTATGAACAAATGTGTTGTGGTGGGTGTGTGACAAACTGGGTCTTTGCCCTGGGTGACAGAAAGCCTAGTTCTGGCCCTGCCAGCAAAGCAGCTGCTTCCCCCTGGGCTGGGGTCCTGCTCTGCCCCCCATTGCAGGGCAATTCCCACTTGACTGGCCAGCCTCTCCCAAAGACGCACAAAGGCCCTTCCTTACCTTAATGTTCCCAGAGAGGTCAGCTTTGACTGGCGCATACACAATGGGCGTCCCCAAGCAATCTGAAAGGAAAAGGAGCAGCCTGGCGTTAATACAAACCACAGCTGCCCCGGAAAGGAGCCCAGAATCGGGCACTAGGCGCTGGAACATAGCTATAATGAAGAAAATCACACATCATTTGAGTTTTTGACAAGGACCAGAACCTCCAGACGCTGTTTATATGCTTTGGCATTCATTTATTACATAGGCATCTTTTTGAAGACAGCCCTCGTCAGAAGCCGGGCAAATCTGAACCAAACTTGACAATTGAACAACATGAATATTCTTGACTTTCCAATGGTGGCTCAGGATAAGCAAACCCTTTTATATTAAGAGAGTTTTCTGTTTAGCTGTCAGTCACATTGAATCCTGGAATTGTAGAGCTGGAAGGTACCACAAGGGTTGCTCCTGGGATAGCTCAGTCAGTTAAGCACAAGACTCTTAATCTCTAGGTCATGGGTTTGAGCCCCACGTTGGTTGGACGAAAGAAACCTGCTCTACAACTTCAGGATTCAATGTGACTGACAGCTAAACAGAAAATTCTTGACTTTGTTATTTTATCCCATGTGCAACTGTACCCATTCTTCTACGTGCCTCTTTTATAGTTTTGTTTTTCGTCTTTCAATTTTCACCTGTCGTTATAACTGTTCTTGTTTTCTATACATTATAAAACGAAATTTTAACCCAACATTAGACTCCTGCTTAAAGCCCAGTAAGAAGAAAGGAAACTGTTTCCTACCACCCCCTAGTTAGGGGGCACGTGAGAAGAGGGGGGCAACATGTTTGCACTAGTTTTCTGGTCCACAAGAAGGTGAAAACTCAGGAAGGGAGATTCTGGCTGAACTTCAATAAAAATGCCTTGCAAGCAAGTCAATGGAACCAGGTATCAGGAGGGGTGAAAGTCTCCGAGGAGAGGTACCTAGGATCATATATATTTATTATTATTATTATTATTATTATTATTATTATTATTATTAAATAGATTTATATACCACCCATCATCAAAAGATCTCAGGGCAGCCCCGAAGATAAAAATACAAGGTGAAAGCACAAAACAACAAAAGAACAACCCCCTCCCACAATCACATTTTAAAGGCTGTAGAGTATTAATCAGCCCAAGGCCTTGTTGAAGAGGAAAGATTTGCCTGGCACCTAAACATAAGTAAAGAGGGCACCAGGCGGACCTCTCTGGGGAGAGCACCCCGCATATGGGGAGCCAGGACAGAAAAAGCCCCGTTCTGGCGTTGCCACCCTCCGGACCTCACGTGGAGGAGGCACACTGAGAAGGGCCTCAGATGATGAACACAGAGTCCAGGATGGTTTATACGGGGAGAGGCGGTCCTTGAGGTCTTGCGGTCCTGAGCTGTTTAATTTGGGAGAAACTGCAAAAGTCATCTAATCCAACCAGAGATGATGCAGCATGGGAGGTGGTAAGGGGCCAGAATTTTGAGGGCGACTTTAGGCAATCAATTTCTCTCAACCTAACTGACACTGCAGGGGTGTTGTGGGGATAGTAAGAAAGGAAAACCAGACGCATGACAGCCTGAACTCTTTGGAGAGACAGTCCAAACGTTATAAAGTTGGATGCGCCACACCCTGTACCTGCTTAACACACGCATTCAGTGTCAGTGCCAACAGCCCTTTAGTACTTCCAGAAAATGTTCTGTTGGCCAGTTTCTAGTCGCAAAGAGTTCCACAGTTTCCCCCAAAGCTGTGATATCTTCACAGCTCACATCAGTTTATGAAGCCGTCATAACGTTTTGCTAGATGCCAAGTGAACCAGTTGACCAACATGCCCATAAGAAGCAGTTTGGCTCTCAAAGCAGCCTTTGTACAGCTGATCAGACTAAGGGGGTTTGCGGGGAGGGGCTGCAAAGAGAGCTTTTATAATGCATTTCCTAACATAATAGCTCCTACTGTGAAGCCCAGGAGAGAACAAGCCTGCCTATTGTCTGTTGAAAGCATTCTCTGGAGTGACGAAATCGGTCAGAGGGGGATGTCTCTCAACACAGATCCACTGGCTGCATCGCCATTGGTGCTGGTGTGGGGAAGCTCCAGCCCTCCAGATGTTGCCAGACTGCAAGTCCCACTGGCCATGATGGCTCTGGTGAACGAGTTGGAAGGGGTCCCAAGGGTCAGCTAGTCAAACCCCACACTAAGCTGGCGCTTGGCACACCTGGGGGCCACAGATTCCCCATCCCTGCCCTCAGCCATGGAAAGAAGCAGCCCTTATTTTTCTGTCTAGCATCCATGTGTTCGCCATCTTTCACCAAATCAATGGGGAAATGGGCATCCAGCCTAGTTCTGATGCCCTGCCCAGTGTCCACAGGTGGGGGTCAGGATCCCCGAGCCGACGGGCTCTCCTCCAACGCCCATCAGCCGCAGCCAGAATGGCCAGCAGTCAGGGATGATGGATGGGAGTTGGCGTCCGCCTGGCCAGCCGTGGGTCCCCCCCCCCCCCCGTTGCAATCTATCATGTCTGAAAGGGGCTTTCTACAGTTTCAGCCAAACCTACCCCACAGGGTTGTGGTGGGGATTAAGTGAGGAGGGAGAGAGCCCTGGGCCTGCCTTGGGCTCCTTGGGAGAAAAAGGTGGGATATAAATGCAATGAACAAATAACTAAGCAGCTGGCTCCATCTGCCACCTCAGCTACAGCCTTCCCCTTCAAAGTGAAGCGAGAGTCCGGTGGGTCTTCATGGTTCTGAATGGAAGGGCTGCTTTAAACAGAAACACGAGATGTTTGCCTTAGATGGGCTTAGGATATTAGTCTGGCCCAGGATGGCAGCAGCTGCCTGCACTTTCGGGCAGGAGTCTTTTGCAGCCCAAACAGGGAAAAGCAGGGGATTGAACCTGGGACATTCTGCATGAAGGCAGCTGCTCTGCCACTGAATTTTGGCCTCATCCAGGCAGCCTATGGGGGAGTCCAAAGTGCCCCAGAAGGCCAGATGGTGAGACAATCCCCGCCCAACCTTCTAACAGTTCCCAAGAGCTTTGCTCTTCAGGGCCACCTTCCCACCAGCCAGATGCAACAACAGACCCAACATTCTTGCCTTTCTGGTTCCAGCCACACAATACCTGCCTGCAGGCAAGTGTACCAGCAACTTGAGCAAGAGCCGTGGCTGAGTGGCAGAGCAGCAGCCTTGCAAGAGTCACCTGCCAATTTGGCCCAAGGGGAGACGCGCTTCCACCCCCACGCCTAGGTGCCTGCACCTAGAGCCAACTGGGTCAGAGAAAGGGCCTGAACCTGAGCAGCAGGATTTTCAGCAGCTGCTGTTGCGTCAAGCCGGTCAGGCAGCATCCCATGCAGATGTAGAGTGCAAAAGGTTGCAGGAGGGAGGAGGACGGGAGGAAGATGACTGGGATCTTCTGTGACCCTGAATGATTATCCAACTTTTCCCCCGTTGGAAAGAGAAGCCAGGAAAGGCCTTGTTGCCAACAGAGCGCAGGAGAGCAGCCAGCTCCAATTGGGGTTCACAACAATGGCCAGACTCTCAAGCAGACATGCCACCTGCAGGAGACAGTCCAAGTGAAGTCTCAACCTTTTATAGGATATTTTTGAGTTCCACACCAAATTTCCAGAAATATATGCTCCCTTGGTCCACTCCAGGATGTATGGGGATGTCAGGGGAGCGATAGTACCTCTGGTGGGGTACGGTAGTTTGCTCATCTTGGGTCCCCACTCTATACTCAGCTCTCACCTGGGGCTCCTAGAAGCTGCTGGCATGCGACAGCAGCCGCATCCCAAGAACGGCCTCGACTGGCCAGCTAAACCAGGTGAGGGTGGTCGATGGCTCTCAACCCCTTGGAGAGTTAGGGACTTCCCCTGCATGCCAAGACAGGCTCTGGCAGATTGAGCAGATGTGACCCGTGGTGGATCCAATGGTCAATGGTCAAGAGGGCGGTTTCTGCCCTTGTTGTAGAGGGAAGAGAGGGGCAGATGGGGCTCATCCACCTGAGAAAGGAGCCCATCTAAGGGGACATCTCTGGGAGAAGAAAAAGCCAAGGAGTAAACCCTGTACAAATCCAGAGTAGAGTCCCTAAGATGATCCCTAAAACATAGCAGTTGGATTTCACCCCCAGAGGCACACTCCATTGTCTCCTAAGACAGATGGCTGTCAAGAGCTGGTCCACTCCTTTGTACTATCCCCCTACTTTACGTTAATTATGGTTACAAACTAGGATTCTAACATTTATATACACATTCATACTCATACGTTTCAGAGATTTGGTCCGCCTTTGCCAATTTGGAGTGTTGGCTGGGAGTGATGGGAGTTGTAGTCCAAAATATCTGGAGGCATCAGGTTGGCAGGGGCTAGATTAGCTGATCCACTTTGTGCCTCTACAAAACAGTTGGAGGTTTTTTAAATATTCTGTATATTCCAAAATATACAGCTACCAAGGGTTCAGAATTACATCAAAACAGAAGTGTCTTGGGTAGCTTTGCATGATGTCCACAAACATTATCTTATTTGTGGGAGAGGAAAAGGTGCCGTGTGCAGAATCTGTGAAACTATCCCAGCATCCCAAGTGCTGTCAAGCTCCTCCTACAGTTCACACTACGGACCACCATCAGGTACGCTGGAGGGCTACCTCAGATTAATGCAGCTTAAAGTTGTGCAAAAATGGAAGCATGATACATGGCAGGGCTGTTGTGAGGAGAGAAAAGACAAGGAAGTGGCAACACAACAGACGTGTGGGAAATTATGCCTGGCCTGGAAGAAGGGGAGAGAGAAACGTTCCTCATAAGACCACAACTCATGGACAGCCAAGGCAGCTCAGTGTTGGGAGATTCACCTATGCATGCAGCACGTAGTTAAACTAAGGGACTCCCTCCCACAGGAAGCAGCGGTGGTCACCAACCTGGACTGGGCAAATTCCTAGAGGAGGAAAAGGCTCTCGGTGGCCACCAGCCTGGACAGCTCTGCTTTGCCCCCCCATTCAGAGGCAGCCATGCTTCTGAATCCCAGTTGCTGGAAGCCACAGGAGCGGAGAGGTCTTCTTGCGCCCGGGTCCTGCTTGCGGG